AAAGATTGTTATCACGTGATGTATGTATATATATAGCAATGATGTATACGTATCTGGGTTTTTTAATCAGCGATATTACTTTTCGTGTTCTGTATGAATTAAATCGTTATTGGTATCTAAAGTGTTGTTTTTGTGTAACTACAATCTGCTGTCATAGGCTATTTTGGAAGAAAAACAATAATTTAGATATATAGCAATGAAATGAGAGTGTTGTAGTTTGATGTGATATGACCGGAAAGTGTCCTCTTTTCAATTTGACATTTATTTTGGACAGAACGTAAGACAAGCCTGGCAAATTAATATATCGTGTTTCTAGCCGTGTTAAATGTTACAGATAAATATACATTAGAATATTCCATCAACGATACTGATTTACTAACTACATGACTGTTCCCGTGGTCTAACATATTATTCAAATTAAACCACCAAATACAGAAATCAGAATATTAATATTAACAGAGAGACAGACAACAGCAAGGAAAGAGAATAAAATAAGAAGGAGACGCTATGGTAACTTCCGATACTACAATATAAAGCTGATGAAGGAGACACTATGGTAACTTTAGATGTTACAGTATAAAGGTGATGAACGAGACACTATGGTAACTTTAGATGTTACAATATAAAGGTGATGAAGGAGACACTAAGGTAACTTTAGATGTTACAATATAAAGGTGATGAAGGAGACACTAAGGTAACTTTAGATGTTACAATATAAAGGTGATGAACGAGACACTATGGTAACTTTAGATGTTACAATATAAAGGTGATGAACGAGACACCATGGTAACTTTAGATACTACAATATAAAGCTGATGAAGGAGACACTGGTAACTTTAGGTACTACAATATAAAAGTGATGAACGAGACACCATGGTAATTTTAGATGTTACAATATAAAGGTGATGAACGAGACACTATGGTAACTTTAGATGTTACAATATAAAGGTGATGAATGAGACACTATGGTAACTTTAGATACTACAATATAAAGGTGAAGGAGACGCTATGGTAACTTTCGATACTACAATATAAAGCTGATGAATGAGACACTATGGTAACTTTAGATGTTACAATATAAAGGTGATGAAGGAGACACTATGGTAACTTTAGATGTTACAATATAAAGGTGATGAACGAGACACTATGGTAACTTTAGATGTTACAATATAAAGGTGATGAACGAGACACCATGGTAACTTTAGATGTTACAATATAAAGGTGATGAACGAGACACCATGGTAACTTTAGATGTTACAATATAAAGGTGATGAAGGAGACACTATGGTAACTTTAGGTACTACAATATAAAGGTGATGAAGGAGACACTGTGTTTGTAACTGTGGAACGAGCGACACAGATTTGTTCAGCAAAGAAAACACGATGATACACTCTTTACAATATATACATTTATTTACATACATGTACAAAGATATGATACAAATTAGCTAATTACATCACACCCACACACAAGCACACTCGCTCTTAAACACACTGTTACACATAAAGTGTCTCTATGATTTCCACTCCGTCCTCCAACTTTCCTCGATGAACTCCTCCGGATCGTTTACCACACGCCAGCTATGAGTACATGAGTCTGTCAAGTAACCAAATAACGCCACATACTACGGCTAGCCCAGGCAAAATCAAGTGAAGCCCTGAATTGCTCAAACAAGGCAACACACCATCAACTGGTGACACCAAACACATCGGTGTATATGGAGCGATCTCTTCAACACATACATGTAGAATACGTCAACTTAGTTGGCCTGATCTCCGAGTGACAGCTTTGGAGGATGGGGAAACATCCGCCACAGAACTACACGCCAATGACTCTGTCGTGGTCATAGCAATATCGTGCAATGGCGGGTCTGGTTACACCCTCTCAAATCCAGGGGTAAAATAATAAAAAGACGAAAACACGACGTAAGATATAGAATTCCTGACGAAAATACCACAACTGGGACTAAAACTACTATACTCCCATTTCACTCAAGCGCTTCCATACTTTATAACCTAGTCAAACTGAGGTTTAGAATTTAATAACAATACATATTATTTAGCATAAACAGGTAATCTAGGACATAAAGTAGTTACTAAGGACAATATAGACAGCAATATAATTTAACGAAATAGCAAATAAGAAGTCTTGTGGTCTACAATATCCAAACAACCCCTGCATGTGCAACCTACGGGCCTCCATACCTGCTGATAAATTACATATTAAACAACACTAGACAAATGCTAAATATAGGTGTAAGATCATTAATACAATGCAGTTATACTATTATTTTACTCATAACACCAATGCATAACGCTTACAGCACGCCTAAATCAACCATATACGAAATATACACATGCACAATGCACAATTACAACTCAGTTACGCTTGAGTGTACTGCACTATCTGGGAAAGTTCCGATAATCATCAGGTCAATACAGGTAAAAACCAGTCAACAAATTTGGACAATGTTCAAATATGGTTTCAATACTCACCACAGTCAGCTATCTGTGTTTCTTATACATGTGTGGCCTACGGAGACTGTACATAACTCCATACCGAAAACAATCACTGCATTGACGCCATGTTTCAAATGTATTCTCCCCTCGGAACCTCTCTCGTATTATAGAACTTACCTGAACAATCGGCACGTACTACTCATAGAAAACGACAAAATACTAATAAAATACATGAAGTTACATATGCGACCGTGACAGTGTTAACTTTAGATACGGCAATATAAAGGTTGTGAGGGGGACACCATGGTAACTTTAGATACTGCAATATAAAGGTGATGAAGGAGACACTGTGGTAACTTTAGATACTGCAATATAAAGTCAATGAAAGAAACCCTATGGTAACTTTAGATACTGCAATATAAAGGTGATGAAGGAGACACTATGGTAACTTTCGATACTACATTATAAAGGTGATGAGGAAGACACCATGGTAATTTTAGATACCACAATATAAAGCTGATGAACGAGACACTATGGTAACGTTCGGAACTACAATATATAGGTGATGAAGGAGACAATATGGTAACTTTAGGTACTACAATGTAAAGATGATGAAGGATACAATATGGTAATTTTAGATACTACAATATAAAGGTGATGAAGGAGACACTATGATAACTTTAGATACTACAATATAAATGTGATGAAGGAGACAATATGGTAATTTTAAATACTGCATATAAAATTGACGAAGGAGACAATATGGTAACTTTCGATACTAGAATATAAATGTGATGAATGAGGCACTATGGTAACTTTAGATATTATGATATAGAGGTGAAGAAGGAGACACCATGGTAACTTTAGATGTTACAATATAAAGGTGATGAAGGAGACACTATGGTAACTTTAGATGTTACAATATAAAGGTGATGAAGGAGACACTTTAAAACTAGATATATTATAATATCAATGTGACGAAGGGAATACTATGATATTTTTCAAGCATTTAGATGAAGGAAATATATATAGTTTTTTCTCTTCGATACTGAAAATCCTTTCCTTGTCCTTATCCTTTGCTTTTGTAACATGCTACTCTCGATGTCTATATAGATCTACAGCTATATCACTACACGTGTCTATATTTAGTATGGATTTCCATTTTCTTTAATACGACCACGTCACACTACTTAAAACCTATTTTTGGATGTTAGTCAGGTTCAAAGTATTGCGTTTGCTTGTATAGACATTATTCAAATTACATCGCCATATTTTATGTATGCTACCATGTAAGATGTACATGTAGTCCATGCACCTGTCAATGCAAATGTTATACATAGCAAAGAATGTGGGTCATAATGTTCTTGTGTCCATTTTTAATGTTAAATACAGAACCTGGACCATTATTTATGATATAGCAAGGAGTTTGCGCTATTACGTTCTGGGATCCCTTTTTTATGTTGAATGTAGAACCGAGTTTTTATACTTTTTGTATGTTCTATAACAAAGGAATATCTGTTTTAATGTTTCTGGGTCCGTCTTTTACGTTGAATATGGAACCAGGGTCATTTTTGATATGACAAGAAATATGTGTTATATTGTTCCGAGGTCCTTTTCCAGGATGAAATATGAAGCCATGTTTGTTTGTCTCCATACTACCAAAAAATGTATATCTAGTTACAGGGTCGGGATCTTGGCAGTTTTAACCCCCGGGCTAAGAGCCCAGGGACTAGGGCTGGTCCCAGGATAAAATCTAAAGTCATACGTGTTTGTCTCCCCATTACCCACAAATGCATATCTAGTTAGAGGGTCGGGATCTAAACAGTTTTAACCCCCGGGCTAAGAGCCCAGGGAATAGGGACAGCCAATTAATTCACATATTATTTTAACAATCTGTGATAATTATATATAATATAAACTTCAGGATAATCATACAGTTTCTATCATGTAATACAATATTTTACTTGGAACCTATTAAATGCAAAAATCGATCTAGTCATGCTGCACATAAAGAATAACAGTAAGACATTAAATGTCATGCGATATCAACACGGTGTGCGCTTTCACCACCACGTCTATATGTACGAGGCTGATTCCCTGAACGCCAACATTTTAAAACAACAAAGTGTCCAGGGCAATTATAGTCTATTTCCTTGAAGTAAGGCTAAGTTACCTGAGTTTTTTTACCTGTATTCTACCGGTACAGGTACCCATTTTAGATAGTAATAAATAAATAAAAATTTGCTATATATATATGTATATGTAGATTTTTTTCAAAATTAACAAAATATTAATGAAAACTAAAAATTATAAAGAAATAAAGATTATATAGAAAAGTGTTGTTTGCCTCCGTGATATTTATTGGAATTTTTAAAATCTATTTAAATTACAATATCATTATATACATTATTAAAGAGAATTAAATTATTGTAAATCACATAGTGCTAATGTGAACTGTTATCCAAAGATGTGAACACTATACTATTACAATTAACCATATGCCTCATCTAATTGAAATGCAGCGACAAAAACTGTTAATTATGGCAAGCTATTCCTGCTTGGCAGATAGAGGTGAGTATCCAAGCTGACACAAAATTGTATAAATGTTCGCAAATATCCTGCTTTACATCACAACTCATTTTCTTCTGCTACTATTCAAATGGCTAATGCTCAGTTGGATTTTAGATTTGTTAGAAGCAGAGTAGGAGGTCAAAACTTGACTTATCAAGGCTATATTTATAGAGTAAAATTTTCTCGAGGGGAAAGGTAATGAAAATATGTATAATATCATAATATTTTATAATGTTGCACTTTAAAATTTGTGAACAATTTGAAACTTATTAATAAATTCCCAGTAAAATATATATTGTAAAAATAATTTGTTAAAGGTAATAATAATTTATAACATGTATGGAAATAATGATTACAAAAATGTACTCATTATATTTTTTTTTCTTTTATTAAGGACTTACTGGAGGTGCACCATCGCCAACTGCCCAGCTACTATCGCTACCAGGAACAACATCATCGTAAGACATGGACAACATCAACACACCCACCCAGGAGACCACGCCACCGTCGTTGCCAGAGAGATAATGTCCAGCATCACTACCCGTTGCCAGAAAGAGGTCAGACCCATCCCAAGCATTTACCAAAAGGAACTCAACAGCCTACGTGACACCGAAAACTGCTACCGGAGACAGCTTCCTTTTCATTGATGATGGAGACATATCCCGGATCCTAGCCTTTGCGACCACAGACAACCTGACCAACCTAGCAACTGCCGACAGGATTTTCTGCGACGGGACCTTCTACACTTGCCCAAGCCTTTTCCACCAAATATACAGCATCCACATCGAGATTGACGGATCCATGTTCCCAGTAATCTACGCCCTCTTACCCGGAAGAAGTCAGACGATCTACACAAGATTCTTCACGTTACTAAAGACAGCTATGGCAGACCTCCACCTTCCAATGACACCAGCTACCGTCTTCGTCGACTTTGAGACAGCCGTCCACAATGCCATCCGCACCGTCTTTCCTGGAACCGAAATCAAGGGCTGCTTCTTTCACTTTACCCAGTGTATATGGAGAAAGGCACAGACTACCGGACTACAACTTCCTTACCGAGACAACGACGACACCAGGAGACTTGTTCGCCGTGCAGCAGTGTTGCCCCTAGTTCCCCGACAGAAGATAGAGGATGTGTGGTTCAACGCATTAGAGGACATTGAGGACGCCGACCTACCAGCAGATGTGACACCCTTTACAGACTACGTCGTGGACCAGTGGATAGATGGAGACCGTACAATTTGGAATCACTACGAGACAGAAGGACCCAGCACCACCAACCACTTAGAGGCCTGGCATGGGAAGCTGAAGAGAATGGTGCAACACGCCCGTTCAAATATCTATGCCATCATCCAGATTTTCAAGGACATCCAAACAGCCAACGACATCACAAGACTACAACGCCAAGCAGCAGGAACCCAAAGACCTCGTTCCAGGAAATATCAGAACATCGAAATACGAGAACAACATAATCGACATCATGACCTACGCCGACGCTGCATCAGAGTTACTGCATCTTGGATAGTTTATGAACAGTGATTGTAACTAATTGTGTATTACCGATAAACATATATGAAATATGTATGTATAAAAGTACTGTAGTGTTTGTGTGAAAAAATCATGTGTGAATGTAAATTGAAATATTTGTATATTTGTATATTACTGAGATAGTATTCATAGCTACAAGTACTTGAAACTTCATTTATCTCAAATAAAAGCCATAAAATAGGTACGTAAAAAATAATGTGTGAATGTAAATATTTGTAAAATTATGTAAGTTTATAAATTGTTTGTACAAAATATATAAGTATGAAACTAGTGCTTCATACTTATATATAGTATGAAAATAGTGTTTGTGTAAAATAAATGGAGTAAAATTATGTAAGTTTATATAAATATATATGTAAAAATAAATAATAATAATAATAAAAGTAATGAAATGTTTCTAAGACTTGTTTATATACTATATACTATATATTCTATACTTGTTATACTAGACTATAGAAGTTTTACAGGTAAAACACAGGTAAAAATATCAGGTAAAACAAGGTTTCAAGGTTTCTTTATTCACTCAGACACATGTATGTGTAACAATATATATATACCAAGTATGCTTAATATTACTTAATTTTTACAGAACGAAATCATAACAGGTTTGGTAATTTTCGGACAAATAGGCTTACATAAATTAACAACTGTTTGTTAAATATTGTAAACATTCTATTCATTTTATAATAGTTTGGATTCGTATAGAAGTAGGGCGGGATGAATTTACGTCTTAACTGTAGTACATTATCATTATTACAAATAAACAAAAAATGGAATTCATCACCTATACCAGTGTCACATAATGGACAAATTCTGTTCTCTCGCTGGACTCCTGTCCATCTTCCTGTTTCAACAGGAAGTTTTATATTGGAAGTTCTGAATTTACATATTACTTTCCACTCTTTCTCATTTAGACGTTTTAAATAATCTTCAATTCCGAAATGATTTTAAATATACTGTATGTTTGTCCTCGTGTTGAAGTTTCCAACTGCTGAAACCAATTTTGAATAAACTGATCGTGTAATGTTTGTTTCACTTTATTTTTTAAATAGTTAACATTGGGTATGCATGATTTCTGATGTACCCAGACAAAACGAAGTCCGACACTGTCTAAAATACCTTTAACATAATTGATCCATTTGAACTGAATTTGTCCAGCTTCATGAAGAGAATACATTAGTCTGTACATATGACTAGATAACAAGATGTTTATAATGATAGAGACTATAATTGCTGTCCCTTTGATCTCTGAACCTATTGTTTTAGAAATGTTGGCGTTCAGGGGACACACCGTGTACACACCTGTTGTACATTGCCAAGGTACATACAGGTAAATAATTTACAGGTATTCAATTCAATTCTTTTATTACCTTAGTCCTTCGGCCTATAAATAATGTTGTAATAACTTGTGCCCGATCCGTTTGCTGGTTTGCTGACAATAAAATATGTTTATCAAACTTAAACTATCATACATACATATATATAGAGAATGACATATAATATCCCTGTATTTCATACTTAATATTTTATGTTACTATTACTTAATATCTAATTATGTATGATTTCTTAACTTAGTTGCCTCATATATAAACTTTCCTCGAGAACACAATTCCTTAATACTTTCAACTCTCAATAAATGAATTAATTTAAAAACAGATGGCCTATTCCAGTAATAACGTTTGATATACTTTTCCCTTAAATCTCTATACCTGTTGCATCCAAAAAATAAGTTCTAGATTTGTTTGGAATATATTTAGTAAGATCAAAAGGTAAGATGACACTATCCACAAGATGTTTATATGGCTCATTCCCCGAACACCAACTCTGCCAACTTGAAAGGAGGGTGTTTATGAAAGGAATCCTCTGATGTCAAAGTTATAGTCTGTTTCAACTAAGAATGTCAACTTGTTCATCGACAAGCTGTGATATTATCTTTAAATAATATTTTAATCAGACAAAAATTGTGTTGCCAGATTGATGGTAAATGTAATGTATAGTTAGAAAGTATCTATTTTTATCAAACATTGTATCTAGAGATCGCATTTTGTCAATTTATATAATTTTTTACTGTACCATCTGTTGTTATGCCCGATGCTTACCCACACTCTACTCAGTTGCAGTTTTTAGAATTATCGATAATTCACCTGCCCATTTTCATTCATGCTGTCTATGTATTTAAGGTTGATATTTTTATGATAAAAACTCGGATTTTGAAACCGAAATAATACACAGTTTTTCTATGTCAAGTTAGAAGAATTTTAAAAAAAATTATGGCTTCGCATGATAATCCCAACATAACTTACAATACAGTCCTCTAGTTAAGAAACACTAATTTGCTATTGCAACTTAATATGAAAACATTATCCATAATATTCACATGCATTGGACAAATAGTCATTTCTTACATAGCAGTGCTTGCATGTGTTCTGTTACAAGAGAAGAACGTTATATGGTAAGTCAAGTTAACACTTGTTCAGATGACACACATGGAAAAAGATTTTGCTGTTTTCAAATAGCACAAATCATCTTGGGCACTTGCAATTCAAATACCATTACCTTGAAGAACTTCTATTCTTTGCTAATAGGATCTGGACTAGTTGTCTCAATAGATCTTGCAGATGCATGCCATCCAATCCTCACACGTAGTAAGCAAGGCTTCAGATTTAGACCCTTAACATCACTGACGAGTCCTAAATGGATTCAAGAGTTGTTTTGTGCAGTTAAATTCATTGCTAGTCTCAACTCTATGTAACTCTAAAGTCATATTCAAATGTGTCTTTAACTGATGTGAATGATGTACAATATGTGCAAAAGATATCCGAAAGGAAATACCTGTATACCATAATTTTTTTATTTAACGTTGTTGTTCTTTAAAAATGCTTTGCAACTGGTAGCAAAGAAAGTATTTTATTTCGTTGAACTGTTTTTAGTGAATGAATTTGTTATTTCCAATTTTGTTATTTTACTTCGTATTTTCCATGGTTTACAGTTTTGGCTTATTGTTAAAAGAATCTCGATTCCTGGTAGTGATCTTCTGTGATAAATAATAAGCATTAGATATTATACTATTGTTTCAGGGTTTTTTATCATTTATTAATGTTAGTATATTGAGAAAGATTATTATCACGTGATGTATGTATATATATAGCAATGATGTATACGTATCTGGGTTTTTTAATCAGCGATATTACTTTTCGTGTTCTATATGAATTAAATCGTTATTGGTATCTAAAGTGTTGTTTTTGTGTAACTACAATCTGCTGTCATAGGCTATTTTTGGAAGAAAAACAATAATTTAGATATATAGCAATGAAATGAGAGTGTTGTAGTTTGATGTGATATGACCGGAAAGTGTCCTCTTTTCAATTTGACATTTATTTTGGACAGAACGTAAGACAAGCCTGGCAAATTAATATATCGTGTTTCTAGCCGTATTAAATGTTACAGATAAATATACATTAGAATATTCCATCAACGATACTGATTTACTAACTACATGACTGTTCCCGTGGTCTAACATATTATTCAAATTAAACCACCAAATACAGAAATCAGAATATTAATATTAACAGAGAGACAGACAACAGCAAGGAAAGAGAATAAAATAAGAAGGAGACGCTATGGTAACTTCCGATTCTACAATATAAAGCTGATGAAGGAGACACTATGGTAATTTTAGATGTTACAATATAAAGGTGATGAACGAGACACCATGGTAATTTTAGATGTTACAATATAAAGGTGATGAACGAGACACTATGGTAACTTTAGATGTTACAATATAAAGGTGATGAAGGAGACACTAAGGTAACTTTAGATGTTACAATATAAAGGTGATGAACGAGACACTATGGTAACTTTAGATGTTACAATATAAAGGTGATGAACGAGACACTATGGTAACTTTAGATGTTACAATATAAAGGTGATGAACGAGACACCACGGTAACTTTAGATGTTACAATATAAAGGTGATGAACGAGACACTATGGTAACTTTCGATACTACAATATAAAGCTGATGAAGGAGACACTGGTAACTTTAGGTACTACAATATAAAGGTGATGAACGAGACACCATGGTAATTTTAGATGTTACAATATAAAGGTGATGAACGAGACACTATGGTAACTTTAGATACTACAATATAAAGGTGATGAACGAGACACTATGGTAACTTTAGATGTTACAATATAAAGGTGATGAAGGAGACACTATGGTAACTTTAGATGTTACAATATAAAGGTGATGAACGAGACACCATGGTAACTTTAGATGTTACAATATAAAGGTGATGAACGAGACACCATGGTAACTTTAGATGTTACAATATAAAGGTGATGAAGGAGACACTATGGTAACTTTAGATGTTACAATATAAAGGTGATGAACGAGACACTATGGTAACTTTAGATGTTACAATATAAAGGTGATGAACGAGACACCATGGTAACTTTAGATGTTACAATATAAAGGTGATGAACGAGACACCATGGTAACTTTAGATGTTACAATATAAAGGTGATGAAGGAGACACTATGGTAACTTTAGGTACTACAATATAAAGGTGATGAAGGAGACACTGTGTTTGTAACTGTGGAACGAGCGACACAGATTTGTTCAGCAAAGAAAACACGATGATACACTCTTTACAATATATACATTTATTTACATACATGTACAAAGATATGATACAAATTAGCTAATTACATCACACCCACACACAAGCACACTCGCTCTTAAACACACTGTTACACATAAAGTGTCTCTATGATTTCCACTCCGTCCTCCAACTTTCCTCGATGAACTCCTCCGGATCGTTTACCACACGCCAGCTATGAGTACATGAGTCTGTCAAGTAACCAAATAACGCCACATACTACGGCTAGCCCAGGCAAAATCAAGTGAAGCCCTGAATTGCTCAAACAAGGCAACACACCATCAACTGGTGACACCAAACACATCGGTGTATATGGAGCGATCTCTTCAAC